TTGAAAGGCAGAATTTACAGAACTTGATGTGCCCCTCCAAACCCTCCAGTGTATTTCTTTTACATGTACAGGAAAAGTCAAAGGCAGATGGGGTCTCCTTGGTTCTGGCTCCTCCTCCCTCTGCCCACTCTGTCTCTTCTTCAACCACACTGGCGTCTGCTGTTCTGTGAACAGACCATCCAGGATGTCAGGTTTTGCATTTGATGTTCCCTCAGGGATTAGGAAAGCAGGTCTCTACAGGGATTTCTCCCTCAGGGTTTTGCTCAAATATGACCTTAACAAAGAGTTCTTTTTTGACTACCCTCTCTACATTAGTGCCCTACCCAAGCATTTCTGATTCCCATTTCTCTGCTTAATTGTCTTCACAGTCTGATATTACACATAGAATTTGTGTGTATATATATTCACATTCAGTGTGTGAGTACTTATTCTGTGATGGTAAGGATTTGATCTGTTTTGTTCACTTGAGAACAGACCTTCCAGAATAGTTCCTGGAATATATTTGTTGAATTAATGTTGAAGTAAGAATAGGAATGGTCGTGGGGTTTGGGGCCTGAATGATGATGCCATTTGGTGAGAAGAGAATGGATCCCCGTGCTCCAATCTCCTGCTGGGATCCCTGAATGTCTTCCTATATTTCAGGTTCATAGGATTCTTCACTCCATAGAAGCCTGTAACAGGTCCAGAAAATCTAGGGGTCTGGACTACCCTTTGCTTTCCTAGGGGGAGAGGAGAAACTAGAGATAAACCAAACTGACTCTCAGTTCCTAAGATGGAATATAACATCAGTTTGATCTAAGCCCCATAACTGATGTTTCAGTTGTTATTGACCCCGTGTGTGGTTTTGAGCAACAAGTTGGCCAGACAATATTACAGTACTTTTTTTAATGCAAAAAGAAAGAAAAAAAAGAGCTATTAGTTTTCCTCATTCCTGCAGGTGCCCAACCAGGTTGACTTGTTGGAGTGCATTTTCTGCATTCTTAATAGATAGCTAGCAGGAAACGCCTTGCACAGCCCCAGCTAGAGGGGTAGAAAGTAGCCAAGGGAGGGTAAGGATCCTGAGCTCCTGCTTCCGGAAGCACTGAGCTGCCCTAGAATAGGCCAGACAGGCAGCTCTAGCCATCAAAGCCCACCTTTACCCAGCCACAGACTCTTGCTCTGTCTCAGGTGATGGTCCAGAATTAAGGTAAGAGAAACTGGGGACATTTTTGAGGCGGAAGCGGGATGGAAATTTAACTGGGAAGGAATTGGAGGGAATTACACATTTTGCTCAATGAAATGCAATATGGTCCCTGTGGGGTCAGTTCCAAGTGACCATTGTGAAAACCAATCCTTCTGACTTCCCACCCTGCCCCTGTTGTGCTAGGTACAGGTGGTAAAAACATCCATGCGGTGTCCATGTGGTAGAATGCAAGTCAAATGGCTGGTTTCAGATTCCATGTTCAAAGACTTTTTTTCCCCCAAAGTTTGGGCAACATTTGTAGGTACCATTGTAGCACTTGGTGTCTTTATATTTTTTGACAGACATTCCCTTAGATGCAGCTTTGCAGAATCCCTTTCTTGTAGGTCAGACCCTCCTTTCTAATTCATACATGAATAGAGACCCCTTACAGAGTTCATTTGAGGATAAAGCTACTCAAGTTTCTCTACAGGTGCCATAAGATGCAGTTCTTCATAGATTAAATCGAATGACAATTTTCAGAATTTTCTTTCATTTTGAAAAAATTTAATTATTTTTCTGAGCCAGGATCTTGCTCTATTTCTTAGATTGGTCTCAAACTCTTGGGCACAAGTTATCCTTCTGCCTCAGCCTCCTTAGTAGCTGGGACTAAGGTGTGCGCCACCATGCCTGACTTAATTCTCAGAATTTGAATATTTCTCAAATACAGTTTCATTCCACTGGGGGCTGAGTGCAGTCCATGGAATTGCTTGGGAACTGGATCCACAAAAGTAACCCACAGTTTTCTTTCTGCGTGACCACTGTGTTTGAAGAGGAACAGAGAGGCAGAGGTAGACCTTGTGGTTTATTCAGGATCCATTGTGATGATGCTGAAACATCACCTTCAAATTTATCTCTAAGTTTTCTTGGTTGTGCCCAGGTGGCCTGTGGTCTCTGTGGACTTTATCCTAGGATATTTGGAACATGATTCTGACCATGATGTCCCAATAGTCTAGCCAGCTCCTTACATGTGGCTTTCAGAGGCAGTCAGCAAAGACAGGCTGCAAACTGGGTCTAGCCTGAGCCTAGAGCAGTGAATGCTTATAATTTTGAGAGTAAGAGGGTGAGTCCTCCAGAGGTCCTAGCTGGTCTTTAGTGGCTGGAGGCAGAGGCTTCAAGGAAAGCCATGAGGGAGTGCACAAAGTTTATTCCCACCTTCCCTGAAGGAAACCATGTGGCCGGATTAGTGTCCTGGCTCATGCTCCCCTACAGATTAGAAGCCAACCCTGTCCCCACATTTGATAGATATGGAGAAGGAGGCCCATGGAAGGGGAGACACTATCACAATCATTGGGTTGACAGTAAAGGGTAGTAAAAATCAGATAGACATTGGTGCCAGAGAACCCTTGGTTCAAATCCCAGTTTTACCATTACCTAGCTATGTGTCCTGGGTAGTTTATTTCACCTTCTCTAAGCTCTACCTTCCTTATCCATAAAATGAGAATAATAATACCTACTTTGAGGGTTATAAAGATTGGAGAAGATATGTGTATAGCTTTTGGAACAGAATAGGTGTTTTATAAACTGTATCTTTAAACGGCTGCTGTCTCTACATTTATCATTACTTTATACTTTATTCACAACACCTTTGCTGTATTTCTTTTACCCTAGTATCTGAGTATACTTGTGCTATTTATTCAGGAATAATTTACCTACAGTGAAGTACACCCTTCGCAAGTGTACATTTTGATAAATTTGGGCAAATGTATACGTCCACATAGTAACCATCAACCTCGTGCCCCTTCCTAGTCAATCTCCATTCTACAGACAACCACTGTTCTGACTTCTATCACTATAGATTATTTATGCTTCTTCCATGTAAATGTATGTTCCATACACTATGTGGCCTTTCATGACTGGCTTCTTTCATTCAATGTGCTTTGAGATTCATCCATGCTGTTGTGGGGAGTGGTGGTTAGTTTCTTTGTATTGCTGGCTTTCATTCCACTGTATGAACATATTATAGCTAGTTTATTTATTCTCCTGGTACTAAACATTTGGGTAATTTCCTTTATTTGGCTATTAGAAATAAAGCTGCTATGAAAACTCATGTACAAGTTTTTATGGGGTCATAGCTTTTGTTTATCTTGACCCTGTATACTTAAAAGTAAGAATTCTGGGTCATATAGTAAGAAAAGTATAATTTATAAGAAACTCTGCTTTTTCAAAGTGGTCGTTCACATGGTTTTTGAAGTAAAGATACAATTGAATTGTTTTTTTAGGTCATGACTGGCTATGCTTAGCATGACTACCAACCAGGAGAAACAAAACAATAATGTTCAATCAAATGCTTCTCTAGACAACATAATCCAATTATGACTGGGGTTAGAATGACTCTGAAAGATCTTTTTGGAAAATCTGCTCACTGCCAGATTCCTTCCTAATGTTCCCATTGTGACCTATTGACATTTCTTAGGCTGCAGAATTCACACTCTTCCAAACCCTTTATTTATTCTCCAAACCCAAGAGTAATATGAAGCACAGAAAGGCTATGCAGTTACCCCAAAATTACACAGCCAAGGAAAACCCCAGGTCTTCTGACTCCTAATCTGCTATAATTTCCTTGAGTTGTGCTTTCTCTGCATGAAATGACATTCAGTCATTCAGCCATTGCTTACTGATCACCCACTTTGTGCTAGGTACTAGGGATAAAGAAATGAATAAGAAATAGTTCCCAATCTCAAAGATCTCATAAACTAGAGATGGAGACAATTTATTCAACCCCAATTATTGAGTTAATGAATAGACTAAACACATCTTTGGTCAGAGCACAGGGCAAATCAGGTTGGGTGGCTCCAGGTAAGAGGCATTCAGACAGGCTACTTCCCTAGTTAAAGAAGGTCACAGCATGTCTTGAGTGCTCACCATGTTCTGGGTCCTGGATTGGGTGCAGATGGACAGCCTCTGTCCTCAAGGAACTCATAAGGTGGGATCAGCTGATGCCACCAAGGGGTTCCAATTTGAAATCTATTCAGCAAACAGCTATTGAGCATCTACTCTGTTCCAGGCATGGTTCCAGATACAGAGGATATGATAGTGAACAGAATTGACAATGTTATGGTCTTTCAGGAGCTTTCCAGTAATGTTGCTACAACTTATTCCCACATTTTTTGAAATCTGTATGTGGCTCAGAATATATCCATCTGCAAGCCTTAGAGCTCATATTGTTTATAATTGTTAAGTTTCTAAGTCAGAGTCTGGGTGGAAGCAAGACACTATCTTACATAGATTAGGGCAGAATTTCATGGGTTTTATCCTCTTGCATTGAAATAGTCATGCTGCAAAGTAGTGTTTGCCATGCTAGCTGAAATTGTCCAGTACCCATTGCTTAGTCCTTTCTTGGGGAGCCTGTGTCTCTAAGTAGTTATGGGCTGACCCTGGCTCATTCATTTGGGAAGAAGAAACTTCACAAGAAGGCAAATTACATTGCTATTTGGCCTTAGTGTCCTCCAGACACATCTCCTGTTGCTTTTCTAGTCCTGTTGTTTCACAATTCTCATTTGTAAGAGAAGGCCACCTCCAGCTGTTGGTAGAGCTTTAGGTTGTTTCCTGAACGCTGATCAGATTGAGCTCCTCAGCTGGTCACAGTCCAACACAGCATTGTTGTTGACCTTCAGGAACTCAGCGACTCCCCAGGGCTCTAGTGAGAGCCTGTACTTGGTAGGAAGAAATTGCTTGCCCTTAGGGATGGTGCTCAACTAAACAACAGCCAAACCCCTTGATGAAATAGTACCAGTGACTTTTTGTATTTGGTTTGCAGCCATCACCTGTGTTATTGACAATGGCAGAAATGAACAAGACCGACATCCAGCAGCCCAAAGATCGTCAGAAGCCCATAAAGACGGAATGGAATTCCCAGTGTGTCATTTTCACTTATTTCCAAGGAGACATCAACAGTGTCGTGGATGAGCACTTCTCAAGAGCTCTGAGCAATATCAAGAGACCCCAAGGATTGAACTCCTCAAGCCAGAGTGAAGATGTGATCCTGAGGAATGGTGAGCATCTCAGGAGGGAGGAGGCTGCAATTTCCTGTCCAAGCTTTCACTGTAAGCCCCAGTTTTTAATGCATTCTGCATGTGTATGTTTGCTAAAAGCAAGTCACACTGCCTAGTGAGAAGTCACACCTTTTCTTAGAAGTTTAATGCAAAAATGGACATTGTCTGATCAAATTAGTTCACTTATTTCATTATTTCTTCAACTGCATTCAGTGCTAGGTTCTCTGCTCAGCATACAGTAAGAGCTTCATGACTACTCACTGTTACCATCAATCAGTAATATTATTCTTGCTGTTGGCCAGAGGGCAAGAACACCAAAGCATCCATGATAAGATAAATATGTCCTGGGTTGATGCTCTCAGCCTCCTTTCAACCAATAGTGGATAATCTGGTGAGCAAGGGTAGGGGCCAGAGGGAGACTAATGAAGGGTCTTGCCACATCCTTCTCCCACCCTTCTCCGGGTCAGGGGTGCATATTGCTCAACAGAGCTATGTCACAATGTGCACATCAAAGCATGCAGATTTGGGGGAAAGTATGATTTTAAGCTGGCAGGGGCCACAATATGTCTCTCATGGACCCCAGATACTTTTGCCTTCATGGAGCCCTTGATCCATAAAAGTATTAAAAGTTACATTTTATAACTGTGCTGTTATGAGATGAGGATAAACCAAGCTTCATTCCTTTTTAATCGGTATCATTATCACATTCATCTTTTTCTTCTGATTTTGAAATAAGTTACATCACTTCTGTGGACTGCTGCAAGTATTCACAAGCCCTAGTCACTGTGCCTCTTATGCTTAATAGAGGCACCCCTGCCTGCCAGATGAGAATCAATATGGCTCCCATTTACCTTTTTTGAAAGGTACAAATGGACCCAAGTCTGGTTGATTTTAAGAGCTTTTTATTTCAGTTACCTAGCCCACAAGTTAAATGTTTTGCTTCCATTGGAGGACCTGTGGGCCTCCAAGTGGGACACTTTGTACAAAGTGGACACATGGGGCCTCTGCCTGTGGGCAAAGAGCTCACCTGTTTCCAGATACTATCACTCTGGTTCTGCTGTTTGGTCTGGACAGAGCACTGGTGTGTGCAGAATTTACTTATTTCCTAGGAATGATTTTTCCAGTCAAATGACTTGATTTTCTCAGAGAATCTGTGGGTTAAGTACACACGTGGAAAGGCATGAATTGTTTGGGTGATGTGGTAAAAATGAGAAACCCCTACTCTGTCATTTTACCCTGTTTTGTTTTTCTTCCCAGCATTTGTCACCACCAAGCACATTATATATATTCTTCTGGACTCCTTTGCACACCCTTTAGTCTGAATTCTATGGCAGCAGGATTTAGTCTGTTAATTACTGCTTTTTAATTACATAGCTCAATGCCTGACTTATGGGAGGCACTTAATAAATATTGCTGGAATGAATGAAACTATGATTTGAATGATAGGGTATTGATCCTAAAGATGGGGTATGTAGTCCATTTTCTGTTGCTAGTAACACAATGCCACAGACTGGGTAAATTATGAAGGAAGGAGATTGTTGTGGTCAAAGTTTGAGGGCTCACATCTGGTGATGACTGTCTTGCTGCCAGAATCCCAAGACAGTGCAGATATCACATGACAAGAGACTAAGAGAGCATATGTGTGTTCTCTGGTCTCTCTCCCTCTTCTCATAAAGCCACCAACAATTTAATCATGGGCCCCAACCCTGATAAATTTATCTAGTCCCCAATAATCTCCCAAAGGTTTCACCTCTAAGCATGATAGTTAGATTAAGTGCCCACCCTCAAAATATGTCACAGAGGACATTAAATCCTAAAATGAATTTCGGAGGGGACAAGTCATATTCAAACCATAGGGATCACCGTAGAGAGGAGATATGGTGTGGTACACAGCTTTAGAACTATGTAGTATGATGCGAACACAGTTCCACTACTTCCTAACAGTATGATTTCTGGGCATCTTACTTTATCTGCTTATGCCTCAGTTTCCCTACTGCTAAAATCAAATATTTAACTATAGGAGAGTGCTTTGAGGGAGTCAATTAGATAAAGCGTGTCAGGTAGCAAGTAGTGAATGCTATGTGGGTATTAATTACTTTTGTGTGGATAATGCCAAAGGCTGACATGTTTTTTGAATGCAGGCCTCTCCTATAGTCTCCAAGGTTTTTGGAATCCTGCTGTGTGGCTGCTGTCATGTTTTCTATGCCTTCTGACTTTGATTGAATTCTGTGAAGCTTCTGCCTGAGAGCTTGGGCTTGGCCCTGTTTCTAGGCCAAGCCAGCCTTCACAAGCCAAACAGATAGGTGGTTTTCTTCCCTTATCTTCTTGTTGCATTTTCCCTGTGAGAATCTCACAAATCCCTTGACTCTGAAGATGTTGCCTCCCTCATGGAGGGTGGTGTGGGCTAGGCAAATATTTGTCTGGTGATTGAGCAACTGAAGGAAAGACTGTCTCCCTCAAGGCCCCTCTTATCATAGCTAAGAGTCAAGTTTCTCACGAACTCTGCTGCCTCAGGGGAGGGCTCCGTGAAAGAAGTCCAGTCCTGCTGAGGTTCTTATTGGACGTGTTAAATGACACACATACAGCTTTGAAAATGGTGGGAAACCTATAAAGTGGCCTTTCATTACTGACTGTTAGTTAGCATCCTCTTAACCCCTGCAGGTCAGCCCCAGCTAAACCAGACTGAGGAGAACAGACCCCCATTCATGGGCTTCCGTCGAAGACTTGCCCACATTCTAAGGGCACTCTGTGAAGTCAAATATGCAAAGCCCAAACACAAGAGACCTGTGTGGCTAGGAAAAGCCATTGAATTTCCTGGCTTCCCTTCCAAAATCAAAGTTATTTTTAAATTTACTTATGTATAATTCATATGGACTGCACTTCAGAAAAGAAAATATAAGTTGAAGGTATCTTTGGATTATCTTCCATTTTGATGGACACTGGGAATTTTCAGTCATTAATTGGGGAAGCTTCAATAACTGCAAGTTCTTGGGGGACACAGTCTTGGTGTACTTCTCAACCCATATTCCTCCTGAACCACCCCCAGCCCCAGTCTTGAGCAGGCCTGCTAACATGCTCAAGAACTGTTGAGAGAAGAGAAGCTATATACCTGACCACCTAGAGATCTTCTTTAACTAGTCTCAAAGGGTCCCAGTGGATCTTCCCTGCCTTCCATCTGCCATGATTAGCAGGGTAGGAAGAAACACTACATTTCTCTTTTAGTGTGAATATCTAGACAAGCTATAGTCATGCTGGCTGTTTATGGTGCCTGTGAATATTGACAACTTTGTGCCTCCACTAGGTGCCAGACACCACATTAAAATTATTACACTTAATTCAGTCCTTAAAACCCACTATGATTTATAAAGTTCAAAGATAAGCAAACTAAATCCATGATCTTAGAAGACAGGATTTGGTCTTGTTAGAAGATGTTTGTCAGGGTTAGTGATGGAGAGAGTGCCTGAGTGGGCCTTCTGAAGTGTTAATCACATTCTGTTCTTCCGTCTGGGTACTCATTATCCAGTTCGTGAAAGTTCCTCCAGCTGAAAACTTGTATTTGTGAATTTTCCTGCACATTGCTTGTATTTCACAAAACCACTTTGTCCTCATTTTACAGAGGAGGAAACTGTAACCCAGCAATGGTGAGTACTCAGAGATGGGTCACCTTGCCAGTGAATGATAGAGATTGAAAGCCAGGTCTGTTTGACTCTAGAGCCAGTCTCTTGACTTTACTCTCCTGCTTTTGTAGACCCTGACAACACCACAGAGAGAGGGTTAATACCCATGAAGATGTTTGCAACAGTTAACACTTAGTGTGTACTTCCTGTGCACCTGGCCCTTTGCTAGGGGCTATGACATAGGTTATCTCATTGAATTTTTACACCAACCCTATTGATTACTCCTTCTATGCTTATATTTCTGGTGAGATAACTGAAGCTCAGAGTCAAGTGACTTGTCCAAGATACCACAGCTAGTAAGGGGTGACTACAGTGTTTGTCATCAGATGGTCTTGATTCCATATTCTGAGCTCTTAGCCACTCAACTTTCAAGATACAGGCACATGTTTTTTATTTGACCTCTACCTTCAAGGAATCTGCACTAGCTACCCCAGGGAGGTGACTAGGAAGGAGGGATTGGGACTTAGCAGGGTTTTCTGTTATCCCAAAGCAGGACTTTCTTCTCTAAGCTGTCCCTCTGCTTGTGGTGTTATTTTAACTTCAGGTAGTTCAAGGACTACCTGCTTTGATCCTGGGGTGAATGAATGAGGGATTATTGCTACCAGCTATGCTGGCCGAGAGGGGAGCACCAATGTGTACAGACTGGACAAGCCAAAGTTTGGACATTTGTGGGACAAAATATGTGTGTGTGTGTGTGTGCGCGCGCGCACATGTGTGTCTGGTTTAACCTTCATCAGAAATCAGGACTAGTCTTACACACACACACATACACACACACACAGAACAAGGAGAAGTGGGAAAGAAGAAAGGATGAATGGAAGGGAAATCAGGCAATTATGGATTGGTCTTTACAACTGTCAACTCACTTTTAGGAGATTCACTGATCAAGTGGTTTCTTAAATTTTTGCTTAAAAAATAGCTTAGCTGTGTGCAGTGGTATGTACCTCTAGTTCCAACTACTTGAGAGGCTGAGACAGGATTATCACTTAAGACCAGGAGTTCAAGGGCAGCCTGGGCAACAGAGCAAACTGACATAATCTAGCTTAATCCTTTTCAGGGCATTGCTCTCAATGACTTCTCACTAGAGTCTACCTCTTTAAAGATTCTGCTGCCTCTCACAATGCCCCACTGGGGACCAAGTTTCCAACATGTCATGTAAGATTCTGTCTCAAAAATGAGCTTTTTTTCTGGGGCTGGGGTTGTGTCTCAGTGGTTGAGTGCTCGACTAGCATGTGTGAGGCCCTGGGTTCAATCCTCAGCACTACATAAAAATAAATAAATAAAATAAAGATATTTTTTAAATGACCTTTTTCTAATTATAAA